GTACAGAGAAGAGAGCAACTCAACTGAGGGTCACACAGCATGTAAGTAGTAGAACTGAGATAGAGTCTGACTTCAGAACTTTAACTACTGAGTTGTGTACTGCCTCCCCAGTCATTTCATTTTGTTAAAAATAGTACCTCTTCCTCTTACCTTGAAGCAGCAACTTGCACTGAGAAATTATGTGAGGGCTGCAGCCTTACAAACACGCTGAAGATGTCACAAAAATGAAAGCTACCAAAAAGATGAAGTAGGACTTGTAACTCAAATCAGTAAAAAATATTAACTCAGAGCTTAAAGTTATAAAACTCTTAGAAGAAGACAGGTATAAACCTTTAAGACTGTAGATTAGGCAGGGGCTTTATATATGACACCAGAAACACAGTCAGAAAAGGAAAAAATAAATTGGACTCCATCAGAATTTAAAAACTCTTGTGCTTCCAAGGACATTCTCAAGAAAGTGAAAAGACAGCTCATAAAATGTGAGAAAATATTTGCAAATTATATATCTGATAAATGATTTGTATCCAGAATATATAAGGAACTGTTATAACTCAATAATTAAAAGACAAATAACCCAGTTAAAATTGGGTAAAAGATTTGAATGGACATTTCTCCAAAGGAGATATATAAAGGGCCAATAAGCAGAAGGAAAGAGGCTTAGTTTCTAAGCACATCAAATGTTGAAATGCACGTCAAAACCACAGTGAGATACCACTTCATACCTGTTGGAATATACATAGTCAAAAATATGGACAATAACAAGTGTTGGTGAAGATATGAAGAAACCAGAAGTCTCACAGTTTACTGGTGGGAATGTAAAACAATGCAGCTGCTTTGGAAAACAGTCCAGCAGTTATTCAAAAAGTCAATACAGAGTTACCATAAGATCCAATAGTCCTGCTCCTTGCTATATACCCAAGAGAAGAAAAAACATGTATTCACACAAAAACTTGGACATGAATGTTCATGGGCTATAGCCCAAAGTGGAAACAGTCCATCAAAAAAGGTGAATTCATCAAAAGTGGAAGTTTCCATCACATTATGAATAGATGAACAAAATACACAGAACACTGTTGTTGTTCAGTCACTAAATCATGTCCAACTCTGCAACCCCATGGACTGTAGCATGCCAGGCTCCTCTCTCTTCCACTATCTCCTGGAGTTTGCTCAAATTTATCTCCCTTGAGTCAGTGATGCCACATAACCGTCTCATTCTCTGCTGCCCTCTTCTCCTTTTGGCTTCAGTCTTTCCTGACATCAAAGTCTTTTCCAGTGAGTTGGCTCTTCAAGTCAGGTGACCAGATGTTGGAGCTTCAGCTTGAGCAGCAGTCCTTTAACTGACTATTCAGGGATGATTTCCTCTAGGAGTGACTAGTTTGATCTCCTTGTTGTCCAAGGGACTCTCCAGCGCCACAATTCCAAAGCATCCATTCTTTGGTGCTGAGCCTTCTTTATGGACCAGCTCTCACATCTATACATGACTCCACTGAAAGTGAAAAAGTGAAAGTATTAGTTGCTCAGTCATGTCCAACTCTTTGGGACCCCATGGACTGTAGCCCACCAAGCTCCTCTGTTCATGGAATTCTCCAGGCAAGAATACTGTAGTGGGTAGCCATTCTCTTCTCCAAGGGATCTTCCCGACCCAGGGATTGAACCTGGGTTTCCTGGGAGATTCTTTACTGTCTGGGGCACCAGGAAAGCCTCACGTGACTTTTTTCAGCCCTGAAAAGGAATGAAGTACTGATACATGGTGTCCCACGATGAGCCTTGACAACATTAAGCTAAGTGAAAGAAACCAAACTACCAAAGACCGTATATTGTATGATGCCATACAGTGGAAATGTCCTTGTTAGGCAAATCCACAGAGATGAACTAGACAGGTTGGTTTTAACTCTTGGGTAGAGGGGAGCATGGAGAATGTACTGATGCATGCAGCATTTCTTTTTGGGGTGATGAAAAATTTCTGGGATTATATGCAGGTGATTTTTTGAGAATGTACTAAACACCACTGGATTGTGCACTCTAAAAAGCTGACTTTTATGGCATTAGAATTACATCTCAGTATGTGCTTAGTTGCTCAGTTGTGTCCAACTCTGTGACTCTTTGGTCTGTAGCTTGCCAGGCTCCTCCATCCATGGGATTTCCCAGGCAAGAATACTGGAGTGGGTTGCCATTTCCTTCTGCAGGGGATCTTCCTGACTCAGGGATCGAACCTGCATCTCGTGTGTCTCCTGCATTGCAGGCAGATGCTTTACCTGCTAAGCCATCGGGGAAGTCCATTTATATCCCAATATATAAACACACACACACACACACACACACACACACGAAATAAATAAAAAAGAAAGCTGTATCTGCTCTTCTGGAAAAAGCTGGAAACAAATCACTATTGACCATTTAAAAAGCTCAATAGGACACTTTACCAACTTCATATGGAAAATAGGAACCAAGGGAAACTAGGATCCAGCTCCTCATCAAATGAGTTTCCTTCTCTTCTGTTTTTCTTCTCCTCACTCCCTCTCTCATACTTAGCTGTTGGAAGAAATGACTAGTTCAGTAGGGAGAAAAAAAGATGGTGCTTCTGTTTCAATCACAAGGTCAGTGTTCCATGTCATGACCTGTCAAACACTCCGGAGGTTCCAAAATGTATTACAAAGCAACAACATTTTGCAATGTTGACTGTCTCCTCACTGCCTTTATTAGTTTTGTGCAGCGCTGTGCTTTTCTCTGGCTGCCTTGGGTTTTTTTGGTTTGTTTGATTTCGTTACTTCTGCTTATTTATTTTGACAGAGAGAATCCTCACAGTGAGCCAAGTAAAACCCACTGAGACCTCACTGTGGATGATACACGAGGTCATTGTTTTAGAAACTTTGTTGTTTCTGGTTAATATGCATGGGGCTCATCAGATATTGGGCTGTAGCCCATGGTCAACCGTAATCCCAGCTTGTCCTTTTCTCATACTGTTCATTAGAGATGGGGATCAAGTGGGACTTTGAGCGCCAGGTTTTTAAAAAAGTTGAGATATAATTGACATGTAACATTGTATTAAGTTTTAGTGTGCACTGTAATGATTTGATACATGTATATATTGTGAAATGGTCACCACAGTAAATTTAGTTGACAGTGATCATCACATACAGTTACACATTTTTTTTTTCTCGTGTGTGATGAGAACTTTTAAGATTTACTTTTAAGAGTAAATACTACAGTATTATTAACTAACCCCGGAGTAGGAAATGGCAGCCTGCTCCAGTATTCTTGCCTGGAAAATTCCACGGACAGAGGAGCCTGTCAGCCTACAGTCCATGGGGTCAAGAAGAGTTAGACGTGACTGAACCACTGACTGTTATTAACTATAGTCATTGTGTTGTGCATTATATTGCCAGAATTTATTTGTCTGAAACTGGAAGTTTGTACCTTTGAACCTCTTCACTCATTTTACCCACTTTTTAATCCCTACGTCTAGCAACCACCAATCTCTTCCTTGTGTCTATGAGTTCAGTTTATTTCAGCTTCCACATATAAATGAGATCATATGGTATTTGTTTTTGCCTGTCTGATTTATTTCACTTAGCGTAATACCCTTAAGGTCCATCCATGTTGTTGTTCATGGCAGGATTTCCTTCTTTTTCATGACTGAATAATATTCCATTGTATATATACATCGTGTTTTCTTTACCCATTCATCCGTCTCTAGAACTGAGGTTGCTTCCATATTTTGACTGTTGTGAAGATTGCTACAATGAACAGGACCAGCTTCTTCCCCACCCCCTTTCCCCCACAGTATTATTTCTGTGCTTTGTGTATATTCTTACTTTTGTCATACTTTTTTCTTCTTTCTAAACAATCCTGGGCTAAACTGAAACTTGGGAAAGGTGTTGATAGTGTTCTTTGTCTCCCTGGATGCTGATTTTGCTGCCTCACTTCCATTTTGAACTTTCTTTTCCAGATACTCATTCCTTTTATATTTTTACTAATTAATTACCCTGATTGTGGAATTTTATCCCCCTCTACTTTTGTTAATTCTTAACTGTTCTGTGTTCCATCTTTTAGGACCTGGTTTAAAGACTAAATTTCAGATGTCAGAATCAAAATGGAAATTTTCTAGTTCCATCATTATTTCTGCGTTTATTAGTTTGGATTCTTTTGTGTGGATGAATTTTCCATCATCAATTATTTGGTTATCCTGAAATATAGTTTGAAAAAGAAGAAACAGGATATATTATTCGGCCTTGCCTTTCCTTTATCAGCTGTCAGAATGATTAATTTGGGCCCTGGCATCTTTCACTAGTAGTCACCAGTGAGCTCTCCTCTACTGTTATGAGGGTGGAGATGGGAGGACAACTCACCTATTCATTATAAACTCACGGACATTATAGATTTGAAGTGTTTGAATCAGTTGCAGTCATTGTTTTTGATATTCAGATTGTTCTGACTTTGGCCAGTGGAGGCTCCATCTAAACGGCTTGCACGTCTTATTGACACCATCCTAGCAGTCTGAGCCGTTGACTTCTGGGCAGCACTTTCCACTTTGTTAAGTAATTGGATTAGTTGGTCTTTAAGATTCCCTTTAGTTCTAGCTTCCCTTCCAAAAAAAGCCAATTTTAATAGCCTACAATAAACTCTTTTATGCTGAAAATACACTATTTTGATTTTTTTCCCTTTTGAGTTTACACAGTGGGTGAATTAATGCATTGGAAAATAGGAAATGTTTCTTTTTTTCTCCTCTGTGATCTTTTAGCTCCCACTTATGTGACACTGGCTCAGGACACTTCACTTCCACTCTGAGCTCAGTACCTAGGCAGAAAACAAAACAAACAGCATAAATATTTCCAAACTTAAGGCTGTCCTGAGGCTTACCAAGGAAATGCCTGATTTTGCAGATGGATTGTTTTCAAAATATACCAGCATTATGGTTGTTATTATATCAAATGTGATTATTTTTCTCACCTTCTAGTTGGGACACTGGCAGGAAGAAGGGATAGCTGCATTTTATGTAGCCCTGGTAAGGCAGAATGGGGGGATGAGGGGGGCTTGAAGCACCCCAGTGAGCTATTCAGGGAAGTCCAGAAGGCTCCAGAGCCAGCCAAGTCTTGCCAGGTGGCTGCGGAAAGTCAGCCCCAGTCCTTATGATCCTGGAGCTGGAGCACGTCCATCCAGGCAGTGTTATGAACCAGATCCAGGTGGCTGGGCCAAGTCCCCGAGGCTATCCCTGGGACCAGAAGGTATAACCAGAGGGAAGCATGGATGTAAATTCCAGGGCATAAGACAAAAGCTCATCATATCTGAGAAGAAGGAGCTGAAAATGACTTTTTAATAAATGCTGGAAGGACACTGTCTCATACTGAACTGCCTATAATAAAACTTAAGAAGTGCCTGATTTTTGTTTCTGTCTGTGCCCTGTGGAGCACATGTAACTTCAAAGGCAACTCTGCAGGGTGCAGGGAGAAAAGATCATGGTTTTACTTCTAATTTTGGCACAAATCCTCCAAACTATTTTTGATGGCTAGGAAACAAAACTTACAGTCCATCTAGATTCACTTGCATTTAGCAGGCCCACCTTTGTTTTCCTGCAGCGACAGTTTTCATTTCTTTAATGTGTGCATTCTCCCTACTTTGAGGCTTTATTCTGTAGGAAAAAGACTAAGGTGACCCTAGATGATTTCAAGTGAAGCCTGGGACAGCCTGGTTCATCAGTTGCCCCGCCCCTGTGCCGTTCCCCACATTTTTTCTTCCCACCATAATAAATGTCTTCAGAATTTAAAACAGTGATATGGATAAACAACAAAGTCGTACTGTATAACACAGGGAACTACATTCAGTATCCTGTGATAAACCATAATGGGAAAGAATATAAGAAGTCTGTATGTGTATAACTGAGTCTCTTTACCTTACAGCAGAGATTGGCACAACATTGTAAATAAACTATACTTTAATAGAAAGTTTTTAAAAAGAATTTAAAACTAGTTTATAAGACTGTTTAAAAAAGAAAACACCCTTTTGATACAAGTCTTAGGTTGTTGTGTAAAGGAGCTTCTGATTTCATTCCAAACTGATGGGGCCACCTTGTTGATGAGCGTTGATGACCTAACGTATGTGCAGGATGTGTGAGTTTGTGTGTATTGTAAGTATCTAGAGACCCAGACATTCCATTAATTCTAGACATGAGAGGCATCAAGGTGGTTTTCAATGACTCTGTCAATCCCTTACCAGCACAAGACGGTTTGTTCAGGCATATTTTTGGGGTGAGTTTCCTTTGTGGCCCCCAGCTACTCCTCCACACCGAGGCATCCGTGCAGACCGATTCAGGCTCTGCTGTTTTTATTCCTTTTGGCCTGTTTATTTCTGATGAGTTTTTATTACTCTTTTCCAAACTCTATTCCCTATTTTGTTTGAAACTTTGGATCATGATGTAGTTGAGCAGTGGTTCTGCTTGACCTAAAGAGTGATCCTAATGAACCTCAAGTGGCTATTTTTATTGCCATGAAGGTATCATGACTTCTCAAGAAGAAACTGCCTCTCTGTGACACTGGTCTGATCACTCCAGGTCTGCAAATGAAGGGCAAGTTATTATTAGCTCCCATAGGTTTGGTATTAGGCTTATTTTTATCCCTATTAGTAACTCATAACTCCCTGGTCTTCCTTTTTTTACACATTGTTAGTGACATTCAGTTCAGTTCAGTCACTCAGTCATGTCCGACTCTTTATGACCCTATGGCTATAGCATGCCAGGCCTCCTTGTCCATCACCATCTCCTGGAGCTTACTCAAACTCATGTCCATTGAGTTGGTGATGCCACCCCACCATCTCATCCTTTGTCATCCCCTTCTCCTCCTGCCCTCAATCTTTCCCAGCATCAGGGTCTTTTCCAATGACTCAGTTCTTCACATCAGGTGGTCAAAGTACTGGAGTTTCAGCTTCACCATCAGTCCTTCCAATGAATATTCAGGGCTGATTTCCTTTAGGATGTACTGGTTGGATCTCCTTGCAGTCCAAGGGACTCTCAAGAGTCTTCTCCAACACCACAGTTCAAAAGCATCATTCTTTGGTGCTCAGCTTTCTTTTTTTTTTTTATTATCTTTTTTTTTTCCATTTATTTTTTATTTTTTTTTTTTAATTTTTATTAGTTGGAGGCTAATTACTTTACATCATTACAGTAGTTTTTGTTATACATTGATATGAATTAGCCATGGATTTACATGTATTCCCCATCCCAGTCCCCCCTCCCACCTCTCTCTCTACCCGATCCCTCTGGGTCTTGCCAGTGCACCAGGCCCGGGTGCTCAGCTTTCTTTATAGTCCAACTCTCACACCCATACATAGCTTTGACTAGATGGACCTTTGTTGGTAAAGTAATGTCTTTGCTTTTTAATATAATGTCTAAGTTGGTCATAGCTTTTCTTCCAAGGAGTAAGTGTCTTTTAATTTCATGGCTGCATTCACCATCTGCAGTGATTTTGGAGCCCCCCCAAATAAAGTCTGTCACTGTTTTCAGTGTTTCCCCATCTATTTGCCATGAGCTGATGGGACCGGATGCCATGACCTTAGTTTTCTGAATGTTGAGTTTTAAGCCAACTTTTTCACTGTCCTCTTTCACTTTCATCAAGAGGCTCTTTAGTTCTTCTTCACTTTCTGCCATAAGGGTGGTGTCATCTGCATGTCTGAGGTTATTGATATTTCTCCTGGCAGTCTTGATTCCAGCTTGTGTTTCCTCTAGCCCAGCGTTTCTCATGATGTACTCTGCATATAAGTTAAATGAGCAGGGTGACAATATATAGCCTTGACATACTGCTTTCCCTATTTGAAACCAGTCTGTTGTTCCATGTCCAGTTCTAACTGTTGCTTCCTGACCTGCATTCAGATTTCTCAAGAGGCAGGTCAGGTGGTCTGACATTCCCATTTCTTTAAGAATTTTCTGTAATAGCACTGTTCTAATCACAAAGGCTCAAAGTCATTAATTATTTCTGTATATACATATTTCCTTTTGTTTATCAGTTGCCATTGCCACTCTTATTCTGGATTGTGACTAGATCAAGAGAATAGAAGGGATTTTTAACCAAGTGAGCCCGTATATGCAGAGCAAGTGTGGTGGACAGAAGGAAATAAGCTGATGCCCTTGGAACTCTGATGGAAGACATAGATGGGAGAGTTTTGACTTAATGGTACCGTGAAAGGTCTGTTTCAGGGAAAGAGATACAGGGGTAGAAATCACTACATTCTTTGGCCTGAAACTTATGTTACTTGTTATCTTGCTTAATATTGGTATATCAAATTTGGTAATAAGAGTTTGTTTTAAATGTTTTGGAAAATCTTAGTATTGAAAGGGAGTCTATTTTTAAATTTGTATTTTTCTCCTGCTGTGTTTTTCTGGCATACTGGTAGCTTTCCATGGGAAACACATGGGTTCTTACCTCCATAGTCTCCTAACCGTCTTATGTGTAGCTGATGACTAGTGGAATGAACTGTCGCGTGTCCTGGGCTGTCTCTTGCTGGTGGTATTTAAACAAAGATGGCATTGCTGTTTCAGGTACTGAAGACATGCTCCTGGCATTGGGCAAGGGATTGGACTAGGTCTCTACAACCCCTTTTAGGATTAAGATTTTATCCTTTCATAATGATTCATAACAATTATTCAGTAATTTATCTCTGTTATATATTGATAATAAGTATACATTGATTTTGGCTTTATTGCACCTTGGAAAGTATAAACACTTGCAAATGACATCCAAGAGTGGCACCACTGGCAGAGTGCTCATGATTACACTGTGAATACTGAATTAAACTAAAATATTCTTTTGACTTCGTCAACATGAAACTTGGTGGTAGGTGTTGAACCTTGGAAGCACCAGCTTTAGCATTTTTGTGGCATTAAAGTGGTCTGAAGGGATTCCCAGGTGGTGCAGTGGTAAAGAATCCACCTGCCAATGCAGGAGACCAAGAGATGTGGGTTCAGTCCCTGGGTTGGGAAGATCCCCTAGAGAAGGAACTGACAACCCACTTCAGTATTCTTGCCTGGGAAATCCCATGACAGAGGAGCCTGGTAGGCTACAGTCCATAGGGTCGCAAAGGAGTCACACATAACTGAGCGAATAAGCGTGCACACACACACACACACACACACACACACACACACATGTCAAGACAATTAGCCTGCCCAAGTTTATAAACTTATATTAAAGGCTCAGAGAATCTCTCCATAGGAGAGGTAGAAAGGGGTAGAAAGAAATACCTTTCCCTTCTTTGAACGAAAGCCGTGTAAGACAAGGGGATGAAAGGGTTTGATTTGGAGGTACTTGATCTATACTATTAAAAAAGAAGTTTCAGAGCCAAGCACACTTAGGAATGATCTCCTGTGTTTTTCAGCCGTGTTCAGTTTTCTGTCTGATACTTTCATGGTTTCTCCCCCTGCTTCAGGGAGGAAGCTCGAGGTTATTGTATGAAGCTTGAAACATGTAGTTCCTTTAGATCCTTTGCCAGTATTCCATCATCATCTTGAAACAAAAGCATGGTAAACATCCACAGCTTACACAATGGGAGAATTCCTTTGAACCTGATCTACCGAAGCGAGAGTATCCCCATAGCGTCACACGCAGAGTTGTGTGTAGCCAGCATGGGCCCCAGACTTCACTCAGGCGCCTGCCTTTCCCCGGAAGTGCTTCGTCTCTGCAGCAGGCATCTTCATTCTTGTCCTCACCCTCTCATAGAGGTGCTCCTCGGTGGTTTTTCGAAGTATTTTCACAGGGTGCCTATTAATAAATGTAGAAGGAATGATGGAAGAGAAAATCCTCATTTTATAGTCTTGGTAATTAATAAGTGATTCAGGCAAGAATGATCACTGGATGATAAAGTCAGCAAGTGAAAGATTGTTGAACAGAATATTCTCAAAGGGTTGCCCTTTGGACTATTTGATTACAAAGGGAGAAAGGATGGAGCATACTCCGTGCTCAGTGTGTGATCAGATTTAAGCAGTCTAACGTCACCAGAAGAGGAACAAGTTGCTGTCATGTACCCACTGATTTGATAGCCGTGTCTGTCATTAGGTAGCATTCTTGCCTCAGATGTTTCACCTGCATCTAATCATGAGGAAACAATCCAAAAGTGAAGGCTTGTTTTCCTAAGAAATGCCAGTTGTTAAGGACCAAAAAAGCAGGGGAAGCTATTTCTTGATTAAGGAGGCTAAAGAGATATGGCATCTAAATGCAGTGTAGATCAGGGAAACAGCTATTAAGAACATTGATTGGGTCATTTGGGGAAATTTCAAAGTGGATTACATATTTGAAATAACATTGTATCAGTGTTACATTTCCTGAGTGCAGTAATTTTGTGTATGTAAGAGAACATCTTTGTTCTTAGGAGATTCATATAAAGTATTTGCTATTGTCATGATAAAAATATATATGATAATTTTTATTATGTAATTTACATAATAACTCAAATATAATGCTTTATTTTAATGTATTATACATATTTGCTTTAAGTATTATACACATTTTATATATTATACATATTTGTATGCATGTGTAAAGCTAATATGGCAAAATGTTGACAATTGGTGAGTCTAGATAGAAGGCATATTCACTGCATTATTTTTGAAATCATTCTGAGATTTGAAATTTTTCAAACTAAAAAGTTGGAGAAAGAAGAATTTTTATTTTAGGGATGAGGTAATGGAGAAAAATGTTGAGCTGTTAAAGTCATGTTCTGAGAAAATGGCATTTTATTACTGTTGAACAAAGCAAAGTTAGGTGATACAGTCCATTGAAAATAAGTATTTGCAAACATAAACTGTTGAGTGAACTTGACTCAGATAGTCTGGAATTAAG